GGTGAAACACCAATAGAACTCTGCACCCCTGTGACATAGGCATACCGAAGAGACAGCAAATAACCATCCCAATCCGAATGTTGAAAGTTCACATACTTCTCAATCATCCCTTTGAATGTCCGAACGAGCCGTTCCACCAGACCGTCTGATTGTGGATGATAAGCACTCGTAAAAGTGTGGCGTATCCCCAACCGAGATGTCAAAACATGAAATACCTCAGCCATAAATGCAGGACCATTATCCGAAAGAATCCGCTCTGGACAAGAATGCTGGAACACCACTCGATTGAGGAGAAAGTATCCAACAGCAGTTGCAGAGGCACTAGCAAGAGCACCAACTTCCACCCAATGAGTCAAGTAGTCAGAAGCAATAATAACATACTCATTGCCAGCAGTCGATCGCGGAAAAGGTCCCATAAGATCAAACGCCACCAACTCAAACGGACAAGAAACTGCAATTGACTCCAACCGTCCTTCCGCAGCACAAGGGGGAGTATTACGAGCTTGGCACCAAACGCAGCTACGCACATACCGGATAATATCACGTCGCATCTCTGGCCAATAGAAAGACCTGCGCAGCTTCTCGGTGACACGATGGTGTCCCATATGCCCACCTAAAATAGGAGAATCATGGTAGGCATGGAGAAACCACGGAATAAATACCGAAGGCACCACCAGCCGTAAATGATCATCAGGATCCGTCCCCACAAAATAAAGAAGGCCATCTTCAAGGCGATATTGAGAATGTAAATGCCGAAAAGGCAAGTCATCAGCAAGTGATGCAGGATTCTCAAACCCATCTCGAAGCCTTCGAATCCACGGCTCAATCTTTTGAGCCTCGCGAACCTCATCAAGAGAAGGTAGATCTTGCTCTACACCCTGTGGACACTGAACGTCAAGGACAGCAACCGCCGACGGCACAGAATCCTCATCTAGAAAATCCACAGATGCTGGAACAATAGGTTCGTCAGAAATATGAGAAGTGAGTGGAGAAGGAAGAGGAGCTCGAGAAAGGGCATCAGCATCAGCCATAGAACTCCCTGGGCGATGAACAACATTGAAATCATATATCTGAAGCTTCAAAGCCCATCGAGCCGTACGACCAACCAGGTTCTTCCGCTTCAATAATGAAGTAACAGCAGCATGGTCACCTTCAAGTAACGTCCGAGAACCATGTAGATATGCATGAAGTTTTTCGAAACCCCAGACTGCTGCTAAACACTCCTTCTCCGTCGTGGAGTAGTTCATCTCCGCTGGTTGTAATGTACGGCTTATGTATGCAATGGGATGGCGCTGACCAGGCACACTCGAGCTCTCTTGCATCAACACACTTCCAAGACCAATGTCAGAAGCATCCACGCGCAAAATAAAAGGTCGAGTGTAGTCAGGATATGCCAAAACCGGAGGAGTCGTCAATAGCTCTTTGAGATTCACGAACGCCCGCTCACAATCGGGAGACCAGATGAAAGATGACGTTGATGACTTCAGCAACGCTCGCAATGGTGTAGTGCGATCGGAAAGATGATCCACAAAACGACCGAGATACTGCACCTTACCCAAAAAGCGTTGCACATCATTCACACACTTCGGAGTAGGGAACTTTAGAACAGCCACAAGTTTGTCAGGATCAACTTGCAAACCCTCACGAGAAATACGGTACCCAAGATAAGTTGTGTCCTTGGACCCAAACACGCACTTCGACCGCTTCAGCTTTAAACCAACGTCGCGTAGCTGATCCAACACTTTACAAACATCACGAACATGCTCCTCCCACGTCCCCTCCGAGTGGATCAAGACATCATCAATGAAGTCAGCCATCACCTCCGGCATATCGCAAAGAACCTCGTCCATCATCCGCTGAAAAGTTGCTGGAGCATTGTTCAAACCAAACGGCATCACCAAAAACTCGTACAAACCAAATGGTGTACGAAAAGCGGTCTTAGAAATATCTTCTTCGGCCATCGGTACTTGCCAATACCCAGAAGCAAGATCTAGCTTGGTGAACCAACGACTTCGCCCCAGACGATCCAAGAGATCAGCAGTGTGAGGAAGAGGGTACACGTCCGGGGTCGTCACTTCATTTAACGGACGATAGTTGATGCAGAAACAAATACTCCCATCAGGCTTCGTCACAAGATGAGGTTCACATGCCCAAGGACTTCGCAACTTCCGAATAACACCCTTCTCCAACATCTCTTTGACGTTTGCACGTAAAATCTTGATCTCCTTGGGTGACCGACGACGAACAGGAACCTTGATTAGACGAGCATCCCCGGTTGGAATGGGATGACGTGTGGCAATCTTGGCCCCAGACGACAGGTCAAATTCAAAGAGATCAGAATACTCCTTCATGAGCTGGTCAACAGCTGCAACACAAAGATCATCAGAGGGATCGGAAAAGGGAAGAGCAGAACAAGATGGAAACACAAGAGGAAATAGTGGGGGAACAAAAGTAATGAAAGCAAAGGTAGAAGTAGAGGGACGAAGAGGTACAGAAGTGAGAGGAATGGATGAAACATAAGGAAGTATGAGACAAGGGGGAGAAGCCTCAAAGTCACACTTGGCATGATTGTGTTGCAACCAATCCATACCAAGAATGAGGTCAAAAGCTTGACTCGGCACCACCCGCAACGACTGCAACTCAAGCTCAAGATCGCCCACACGCACAACCAGGTCCGCCTCATCTTGTGCACATGCATGTGTACGGCCGTTGCCATAAAGAATGAAAACTGGATCCGCCACACGACGCAAGTGTAGACGACAACGTGTGGCAACAGGTCGAGCAATAGAAGATAAACTCGAACCTATATCAACCAACACGGAGAGAAGAATAGGAGACCTCTTGTTATAAAAACGAGCTTGGAAAGTAAACACTGGATGAACCGGTGCTGAATGAACCCCTTGATGATACTCCCGAAAGAAAGATGGAGGGGTCACTAACTTATTTGCGCAAGGTCCCTCCATTACTCGCGCGACTCCTCGTTTCCCAAATGCACCTCGGTATCCAAACCTTCCACCGCAGCAGCACCAACGGGACGTTGCTGACGCCAAGGTCTCCACCCAGGAAATGGAGGTCGCCAATCCGGAAAGCGCCGACAACGCCGATAAGTATGACCAACTTCATCACACACCCAGCAACGAACGTCACGGCCACAACCACGTCCTCGCCCTTGTCCTTGGACTCGAGTAGCAGCAGCATCAACCTCCATGGGAACAGGACCATCACTCATAGGAAGTGGAGCTGAAGGACGTGTAGCAAGAAGTGGAAGAGGCGACGTCTCATAACGTTGCGCCAAGCGAAGAGCATCGTCAAGAGTGGCAGGAGCAAGTGCATGCACAAGTCCGACAAGATCTTGACGAAGTGCTAGCCACAGCATTCCTAACTTGATCCGCTCCGACATATTTGGCTCCACACGAAGCAAAAGACTTCGGAAACGAACGCCAAATTGCATCACCGACTCAGATGGCCCTTGGCGAAGACGATGCAATTGTTGGAAGGCATCATCACAATCGTCGGCGTGTCCGAAGGCGCGTTTGAAGACGTCCGGAAGAACACTCCAATCGCCACGAGTAGCTGCGCTCAATCCATTGTACCACTGCAATGCCGTCCCTTGGAGACATGTGGGGAACTCACGCAAACGTCGAGCATCATCCCAAGAATGATATGTGGCAATCACCGTGAAGTGATCGAACTAATGGTACACATCATCCCCAGGATTCCCACGAAAGAACTCCGGCCGAACGCGAGGATTGGCACCAAAAGCAGGAGGAGTTGTACCATGTGCCGTGAACGCCGTCATCAACTGAGTTTGGTTGTTCAATTGCAAGCGCATAGCATCAAGCAATTGAACCAACTGCTGCTCTAGAGTCAAAGGAGGAGATTGCGGATCGGCCATGAAGATGAATGAAAAAGAAAGAGCAAAAGAAGAGAAATGACAAAAAGCTGGAAAGAAATGGTAGATCTAGACAATGCAAAAAGCTAGATCTAAACCAAAATCTTGAAAAGAAAGAACAAAAGAAAGGAAATGGAAAAAGCTAGATCTAGACAATGCAAAAGCTAGATCTAAACCGAAATCCCAAATCCAAGCACTCCCCAGGGACAATCAAAGATGCCCCTCACCTCCACCAATGTGAGTGCATGGAATATGGAAAGGGAATACAGAAATGTGCATATCAATTAGCCCAAAAACCCTAGCTTATATACAGGAGCGAGTGGTCCGGATTAAAACCAATCCGATGGCTACCAAAATCCACTACGCTAATATTAGTATACGGCATTGTAGCCGTACACTTGGCCCTCACATTTTAAAATATTCTTCACTTAGAAATTTTTTAATTTAATAATAATCATATATATAAATTAATTTACATCAGTTTTGCTTTGTTATTGCATTGAACAACATATGAAACCAAATACTATATTAAGTGCCAATAAAGTTTCCTTTTATAATTAAAACCTAGAATAAGTTTCATTTTATCCACTTTCTTTTGGACACCCTGCTTCTTCTAAAAAACCCTAATTCATGAAAAACACAGAGGTCAACCCAAGAACATACCCGCAAATATCTCATGGAGATTGCTGGTAAGAGCGCCATAGGCTTGAGTCCACTGAAATGGGAACGAATGGAGCGGGCAGAGCTATTGCAAGAGCGATTTGGCTGCAAGGAGCTGGAATTCGAGAGAAGCGATGGAATCGTGGAGGCACGGCTCAAGCTCGCCTGTGGCTCCGCCGCCACGATAGCACTGCCGCAAGGCGTGGTTACATCCTACAGACCGATAATGTGGCACGAATCTCAGGAAGAGGTCCTTCACTCCAAGAGATTTCCACTGCAAGGAGGCTGCGCCTACAAAGGAGGAATCCGCGCGTCAGTGGCAAGAATCCCAGAAGTAGAAGATGGTGAAGAAACCAAGCGCGCAAACGATCCTCCATTGTCGTGGATCGTCAATGGAGTCTCAAGAGCTCCCAACAAATGGGTCAAGGTAGAGAGAAGTTCCACTATACACCACCAAGTTGGATTGGATCTAGATTTTTTTCTTTTTATGTTTTAGATCACACTGGGCTCTAGCCTGCCAAATCTCAAGCTCAAGAACAGCGTCACGCTCTCCAAGCGGCAGCTTCAATCCACCTTGTCGATCGAAAACACTGGCAAAGCTCCCTGCTGCTTCCACGCATCCATCGCCACTGCGGTCGAGGTTGGCGACTTGGCTGGAGCTTACGCGATGGGCCTGCTGGGAACCAACTTCCTGTCCCTGGGAGACGAATCCATCGCCGAAAACACCACCGCTGGCGAAGAGCAGGGGCCCCGGATCTTTGAGAAACTTGCGGTGCTGCTCAGTGGAGGATCGTACAAGCGCCCGGAGAGAGAATCCCAGCAAGGCGACGAGAGCTTTGTCGGCAAAGATGGTCGGCTCTGGCACCGCCACTGCTCCGAGATGGCTCCACTAGCACCTGGAATGAATCGCCTCTACTTCATGTCCTCGATGCCGTGGACGCTGCTAGATCGAGTAAGTTGATGATCGATCTTCTGAACACTTGCATGCTTGTTTTTGACTGCCAGGGAAAGCGTCGCTCGTTCACCTTCCAGAAATCGGGACCGAGGTATCTGAGCCTCTCCAATCCGGGGCCAGAGTCGCAGGAGGAAGACTGGAAAAAGTTTGTGCTGCTAGGCCCAACTTCGGGTGAAAAGCCGCTGTGCGTAGAGCCTGGACAGACTTGGATCGCTGAGCAAGTCATCGAGAACACTGGCATCTAAGAAACTTGACAGCGTACCTCTCTTCTTGTTACGGGATGATCCGAGCTGCCCGCATTCGATCGATCACTCGCGTCAGTGACGCTTCCGTGTCTCTGCTGCCGTTGAATCCAAACTCCCGGCATTTGCTATTGCTGCTCACCAGACGAAATGGAAAGTTGAAGGCTTCGTCTAAAATCCTCGCCACCTTCCTCAAGTTGGTCGTTGCGTGCAACCTGTTGGATCTCGTCATCTCCTCCCACACTTCTTGCTTGTCTCGCAATATCTCCTCCATGCTCGTCGGGCAGCCACTGTAGACAGGCACTTGGAGATCAAACTTGAGCGCCACCGCGTGCCACAGCTCCTTCCACGTAACCAGGTCCCCGTTTGTCACGTTGAAGGCCTGGTTCTTGGCTCTGGCGTCTGTCGCCGCCCAGATCTGTTGCTCAGCAATGAGCTCCGCGTCCGAAACGTCCGTTTTGCACTCCCACGCCTCCGAGTGTCCAGGAAAGACAAACGGTAGCCCCTGCTGCCTGCAAATGCTGGCATAGACCGCTACCGCATGAACCAGGTTGATGAGGTTCCTGGGAGCGAATCCAAAGATGACACTGGGCCGGTGGATCGACCAAGTGAGACCCTTCTTCTTCTTTGCAGCGTCATAGACAATGTCCTCGAGAGTGTAATAGAAGTTTGGAACACCAAGCCGGGGGCCGTCCTCGACGAAAGGGAGCTCTCCATGATCTATCTTCCCCCACAGACTCTGCGGGCCGATGTAGTGCTTGGAACCAGTCTGGAGACAGATGTGTTCCAGCTGCTTGGCGTTGAGAAGCAGCGCCTCCAGAGCATTCAAAAGCATGCTTCCATTTGCCTCGCAGTTGCCTTGTTCCTCACCGTCGCTCTTGTGGACCCAGACCACCCAGAAGAGATGTGTCACGTCTGTCAGCCTCGACACCTTGCGGAGTGCATCACTTCTATCCAGCAAGTCACACTCGATGTACTCCACCCCTGTATTCACAAACCAGCTCGGCCTCGGCCGTCGAGCAAGGCCATAGACCTTCCACTGGGACTTCGGCAGCAGCTCTAGTAGACTGTTACCAACGAGTCCGGTTGCTCCAGCCACCAAAGCTACCTTTTGTTCTACCATATTCTCCCTCCTGCGTAATTAATTTCCTTCTCACCCTCCTGTGAATCCTCCTCTTATCGCCTTCCAACGAATTATTGCGGACACCTGTTCCTTCCGAAATAGACCACTTGTCGATCATCTCTGAATCCACGCAATACAGCATTAGTTCAAGCGCCTCCTTTTCCTGCTATGTAAGACTTCCGAGTCACCACCACCCGAGGTGCTCCCTTCCTCGGACTCTCGGGGTCTGGCAACGGAGCTAACACTGTTTGAGCGTTCAATTGTCTCCGCTGTGGCAATGACAGCGTCGCTCGGTTGGGCGCTGACACCCACGGTTGCTGTTAACGCCACGGCTTCTCTTGCAGTGTCATGGAACCTCGCAGCCATGGACGCCGCTTGCCGACGGTGCGACTCAATCGTCTCCACCAAGCTCGCCAATCTCGCTCGGATAGCATTCACACGTTCCTCAGTATCGGCGCGGCTGGCCGAGAGCTGCCGCACGTAGTCATCCTGGAAAGTCGCAGCTCGTGCCTCAAACTCTCCCACAGTAAACTCGACCGGTTGAGTGCTCGCCGCTGTGGTCGTCATCGATGGCGTCCGGTAGTGTTCTCTTCGCTCGGACATGCGCCGCCGGAAGCGCGACGACATGTTGTCGTGCAACAAGCGCACCACCCTGCTCATCCGGAGCATCTCGTTCAAGTTGATCCGGTCTTGCTCGGCTTCCCGATCCTCCACTGGCACTGCTGTTGTCTCAGCTTCCACTCTCTGGCGCAAGCTATCCACCCTTCGAGCGTGAGGGCGAGGAGGAACTCGAGCTTCGTCGTCTTGCACGCTAAGTTCCTGTCGAGCCGACGACGAACTCCCTCTCCCATAGATCGGGATGATCGAATTCTCGCCAACCGAGCCCTTGCAAACCGGGCACTCCTCGTTCTCCGAGTGGACGTAGAGCCACTGGTGCAAGCAACTCCAGCAGAAGAGGTGCCCACACACCGTCACCACGGGCTCCACCGCCATATCCAAGCACACGTTACACTCAAAGTTCTCGTTCCCGCCACGCTTGACCACCCCGGTCTCGTCCTTGGAGGAGTCGTCCTCGCTTTCTTTCGCGGGTGCCTTGTCCTTGGAAGTATCTTGCTGTGGTTGCTGCTGCTGCTGCTGCTGCGGGCTTCGCGAATCGTGAAAAAGCCTCCTAGATCTCTCCTCCAGCCCGGCCACGCTCACCAGCGAAGGGCCGCGAGTCGAGTAACGCCTGAAGCGATGGTGCCGGATGGGAGGACGCATCGAATGCTCCACAGCCGGACGTATTCTAGCCTCAGAATCGCTGTCTGGATGAAGATCCAGGAACACGCCATGGATCCCAGGGCCAAAACGCGGCAAAATCCTGCGCTGGAGATTCCCACCCTGATTTTGGCCCCCTTCCCGTGGCTGTTGCTGCTGCTGCCGCTCCTCCTCCTCAATCCCTGGCCCTAGCCGCAGGAAATCGGCAGTGGCCGGAGGCGCCAGATGCAAATTCAGGTCAATCCTCGCGGAAATCCCATTCCCTTCCGCCATCTCTACATCTGCTCCAGCAACCACTACGAAGCTCGGCATCTCACCGCCGCGACTAGACTCACACACACCTTTGATCCCCAGCGCGCGCCCAGCGCTCGAGCTCGCGCGTCCCTAAGAACCCTAAAATCCGAGGGTTCTTTGCCCTGTACGTTTAACACCCCCTTTAAAACTTAAATACAAAGAAATAAAGGAATTTCTCTCAGTGAGGCTCGAGGACATCGTCTTCTTCCAAGGCTTTGTCCATCCATCGAATTCGGCAGCCCCGCGATTCCATCTCTTCCGCGATCCCGGGAGGGAGGAGTGTTCTCAAATACGATGGAAGCTTGACGTTCTTCAAGCTCTTGCAATTCTGGAGCACTGTCACGAAGCAATCCACTGTGACATTCTTGAGGTGGACAAGCCGGACGCTTTGCAAGCAGCTGAGCCGGGGAAGGCTCAGCAATCCCGCGTTTGAGATCGGGCAATATGAGATGTTCATCTGGTAAGACAAAAACCACCAAAGTTAGCATCATAGCAATGAGAAAGATGAAAGTTTTGTGAATCTCTTATTACGTACCATTCGGAGGCCGGGGCAAAAGAAGGACAAGGCCGAGACTCCAGCGTTCCCGATCTGGGAGCAGCGCTTTATATCGATCTCCGTGAGCCTCTTGCAGCCCGATGCCATCACGGCCAGGCCTGTCGACGAAACAAGCACGCAGCCGCGGAGCTCGACGCGTTGCAGCTCTCTCAGCTGCGACAGCGATTGCAACGAGCAGTCTGTGATCTTGCTACAATACGAAAGGTCCAAAAGCTTGAGTTTTGGACACCCGGAAGCAATTGCTGCCACTCCAGCGTCACCTATACCTTTGGACCTGTTGAAAAAACCACCAAGACTTGTTACAAAGCCGACTCACAAGTGAAGTTACTGCTTACCTGTAGAAGTCAAGCTCTCGAAGGTTACAACACCTGGCACCAATGTGAGCAACGCCTTTGTCCGTGATGGTGGAGCAAAATCCCAGCTTGAGGGACCTCAGTGCCGTGCACTTGGAAATATACTTGAGGCCTGAAAGCGAATCAATCAGTACTCGAGTGAATCGGCTCGAAATGATCAAACGTACCGGTATCACTCATGTTGCACTCGGTGAAATCGAGTTCTTCGAGACGAGGACAGCCTTCGCCGAGACCACACAGCCCATCCTCGGTGATGAGGCTGCACGACTCCATTTTCAAGCTCTCGAGACCCTTGCAGTCCTTGGAGATCCGGCACAGAGACGCGTCCGTCAGCTCCCGGCAGCACGTCAGGTTGAGCTTGTGAAGAGCAGTGCATCCTTGAGCAACAGCAGCTATGCCTCTGTCCGTTACACCTCTACACTTGCTTAAGCTGAGCTCCTTGAGCTGCTTACAACCCCTGGCGATGAAAGGGAGACCGTTGCGAGCAATCTCACACCCGTCCAAGACAATTGATTGCAGGTGATCAAACTTTTGAAAGGTGGCCAGTAGATCGTCCGTGATCTGAGCTCACAGGGGTCAATTTCTACATGTACGAGTAGATAACGCTGAGACTTACGATAGAGCAGTAGGAAAGCGTAAGCTGTTCCAAGGAGAGGTGACTGGTGGCCAGAGCTGCGAGACCTGCGTCACTGACATTGGAGCATCGAGAAACATCCAGCTTCTGAAAGGAGAGAAGTCGTTTACATCGGAGAAAAAGAGCACTCCTGACGTACCAGCAACGATCTGCAGCTCCTTTTCAACGATCTCAATCCTCCATCGTCAACATTGTTGCAAGAAACCAGATTCAGAACCTCCAGCGAGTGCAAAGTCGCTATGGATGCCAGGCCTTCGTCGGTCACCTTCACGGAACAACAAAAGCAAAAGCTCAGACCACCAAGTCAAACCAAAGAAGAGAAAACCAGGACAAGTAGCGATCTGCTAGAATCACGCTAAAGCAAAGAGAAAAGAGACTCACCTCGGTGTACGAGAGATCCAGTGTTCTTAGCTGCTTGCAATTCACGGCAACGAGAGCAATGCCAATGTCCGTGATCCCCAAGCACCCCTTGAGCGTGAGAAGCTTGAGCATCTTACAGCCAGCGGCCAGGCAGCCCAACCCAATGTCTGTGATGGAGTGGCAGCCCGTGAGGCGGAGAGCCTGGAGATTGGAGATTTGCGCCAGCGCAAGCACGTCCGAGTCCTTGAGATTGGAGCAGTAGCTCAGATCCACGTCGGTGAGGGAGGCGCAGCAGGATCGCGCCAGCAGCCCCAGCCCAGCGCTGGTAAAACCCCCAACTCGCGACAGGTTGATCGAGGCGAGACGATTTCCCGCGATCTGCCCTACGAGCGCCAGATTCTCGTCCACCAGCTGGATGCAATGCGACAGATCCAGATGCTCCAGCCGCGTGTACCTGTGGAGGATCCCTTCGAGAACTTCGTGGCGCATGAGCTGGATCCGGTTCCTGGTGCTGGCCTCGAGGCGCAGGAAGTGCTTGCAGCTGAGGCACCACGCCTGGCGGTCGAATCGATCCTCAAGGCGCTCCAGGATCTGGAGCAGAATATTGTCGTCCAGGAGATCGATGACACTGTCGCCGCTGTTCTTGCTCATCTTCCGATCCGCCATGGGCGATTACCCCAAGAAATTCACCGCTCCAAATCCGCGATAACGGTCCACATAAACACTCCACCTGTTCTTCCTTGCTCCTCCAGTACTGCGCGAATTCGATTGGCCTACACTGCGACTCGTCAAGATCATCGGCCAAGTACGAATGCCTCCCCTGGATCACGCGCGCGCCTTGATCCGTGCGTCGGTGGCCTCCGCCAGCAAATCCCTAAGCTCCAATCCATGCCATGGCCGGGCCACCGGCGCCTAGATCTAGAGCAGCGCAAGTGGCGAGCGAGCGAGTACCCTCCCTGACGGTCCTGGCGGTGTCGATAGGTATTCCACCAGGAAGAGAGAGAGAGAGAGAGGAGCTAGGTCATCGATTAATCCCTCTCTCGCACTCCCGCATAGCTAGTACCAGCGAAGATCAAGAATCAAGAAAGGTAAATAAAAAACCCCACAATGCGTGTTGGCCGCAATTCCAGTGATTGTTTAATCCCTTGATAAGATGGTACGTACAGTACGTTGAAGGTGTACCTTCCCGCATGGTGGCCGTGCCGTCCAGCTTGGACCGCCGTCATGTGATACGCCCTCCCTGGATGGGAAGGTGACAAATTGACAATTATCATAATAGTTTACCCCAGCTGACGCAATCCCAGCCGTTCATTTTGGTAGACGTTTCAAACTTCTTTTTCGCTGGGTGATAATCTTGACACCTTTGATTCAATGCCTGTGAACCTTCGCTCAAGATTCGGGCGAAAACAATGTTTTGCAACGCGAGAGAAAAACGTTAAAGCTGACGATACAAGGGCATGTACTTCCATTGCCACTATTTAATCTTTGCTGCTCACACACTGAATAAGATGATCGAATCTAAACCATAGGAAACGATATCGCGGCAAATTAGTCAATGAATTCATATGTGGAGCGTATAACTTAAGATGGATCGTGGCCGGCCAAGTCAAAAGGCCTTTGAAATTCTTTTTTCCGGAGGGAGGTGGTACCTCAAAGTACTTCACAGCTTTGAAATTCTTTTTCCGGAGGGAGGTGGTACCTTTCAAAGTACTTCACATGCGTGTAAAACGCAAGGGGGCCGCGTGGCATGACGCATATAGTGACCATTGCTGGCCATGGGGCCGCGTCCACTCGAATATTCGACGGGTCCATGAAACCAGATCGATCGCTGGCATTTGATCAAAATCAATCGTCCACGAGATGAAGTTGTGCTCCACAAAGAAGTGCGAAAATTCGTCTAGATGCCGATTCTGGAATAATCCAAGCAATCAAGTTACTTAGTGGCAAGCACTCAAACAATATGCCTTTGAGCATGGCAGGCCACAAGATTCAAATCTGGATTGGCTTGTAGCATCTTATTTTAGATGCTTTTTTATGAAGATGATTTATATAATATATTTTCTTTTTTAAATGGAAAGTTATTATAAGAATATCTACATTAATAAAAAATTTAAAAGTATATAGCATTTATGTCATAATATTTTGTTTTGCCATTGTGTCATTATTTGTTTTTCATTACAATAATTAATATATATTTTAAATAATAAAATTTATACTATAAATATTTTATGAATCTTTTATTGTAACATGAATCATATTTGTGAGTGCATGGAATATGGAAAGGGAATACAAAAAATGTGCATATCAATTATCCCAAAAACCTTAGCTTATATATAAGAGTGAGTGGTTCAGATTGAAACCAATCTAACAGCTACCAAAATCCCACTATACTAATATTAGTATATAGTACACTTAAACCTCACATCATCCCCTCCTTTCGGAATAATAGAAGACCATTAGGGTCCTTTTGTAGATAGGCTAGGATCTGGTGGAACATTAGGAAGAGGTATCGATGGATTTATAGATGGTATCAATTGTTCCTAGTCCCTTTATGCAAAGTATTTCAACTATTGTATATGCATAATTTCTAAAGGATCACTCTACTGAACGTCATGCCAAACCTCATAAACTTGTGGTCCAACTTGCCACAACACTTAATATGGTCCTTTCCATTAAGCAAGGAGCCTTTTAGATAAATTACATACTATAAGATGGGGAAAATAGATTAACACCAAGTCATTCACTATGTGCTCCACGAATGATGATGGGAGTTGTAGTGCTATTGTTGTCCCACTTGTACATAGCCTAGGTGTTTAGCAGACTTTACTTGAACAAGTGGAAAAATGCTCGTCAAATATTAATCCCACGACCTAGCATCAATAACTCGTTGCAATTATAAAGGTCAACTCAGCTGCTTTGGTAATATTGAATCATGACCATATAAGAGTTTATATGGTGAATTACCAACAAAATTTTGCACCCTTGTGACATATGCATACTAAAAAGACAATAAATAACCATTTCAATCCGAATGTTGAAAGTTCACATACTTTATGATCATCCCTTTGAATGTCCGAATGAGCCATTCCACCAAACCATCTGATTGTGGATGATA